TGTGAGCACCCTGCATTAGCAGTCTAAGCGCTCCTTAGTTATCCAGTGATGCCCTGAGCCCACTGATGGGCACTTTCGTAGTAGGAATTAGAACAGTGGTCTTTTACATTCTCATGCAGTCAAGTGACAAAGCAGTTGGAAGTACAGGGGCCAAATCGCCACACTGAGAATGGGGGCAGTGCACAGAAATCCGGCACAGAGTTAAAGAAATAGGTCAGAGTCACCTGGTGAGGTCAAAAGTCTTGCTTCTGGGCCTAGCAGTTGAGGTTTGTTAAAAGATACTTAGACGCCTGGCACAGTGATGTGTGCTGGTCATTTCAGCTACTTGGGAGGCTGAGGCACAGGAAGGGCTGAGTCATTTAAGCCCAGGAATTTGAAGCCAGCTTGACCAAGCAAGGTCCATCTCAAAAAAAAAAAAAAAAAAAAAAAAAAAAAAGAATAGCATTTGGAAGTTAATTTTGGAGTAGCTGGCATTTTACAGGTTTGGGTGGAAAATTATGATAAATGAGTGTATCATTATCTACTTTTAGTACATTAATATAGCAGCAAAATAATACAAGGAAGGAAGAAGTCAGACAGAAAAAAACCTGTAACTTTTTATAGGGAGATAACATTATTTAGCAAGACATGTAAGGGGGAAATATTGAGTGGGTGGTATGATTCAGAGCACAAATCTATCAGATGATAGAAAGGTTAGTTAGTAGAGATAAAATAAGATGAATTAAAGTAATACATTTAGAAAAGAGTGCACAGGCTAGGGAGAGTTTGGGAGGAGGCTGTCAAAACAGTGAGAAGACTCTGACAAACTCTAGAAAGTCAGGGATTCTTTCAACTTCCAGGAGTGAGGAGAGTTGCAAAAACAGAGGGAGTTAAACTACCAAGTAATAAGATCTCGGCAAAGGTTGAGCTGAATATGCAGCCCTTTTTATGATAATGACACCTGGAGGAGAAAAGCTCAACGAGGAAACCAAAGTGAAGTTGAATCATTAGGAGCTGAACATCATGTGGTCTAGAGGGTGCCATCTTGAGGGACACTTGAGGAAGGATTCTGTTCTAGTGGGCGCCATCTTGAGGTACAGTTTGGGAAGGCTTCTGGTCTAGTGGGCGCCTTTTCAAGGTACAGTTGGGGAAGGATGCTGGGAGGCTGGAGCCAGGGGAGGGATGAAGACATGAGGGGAAGCCTAGAATTTTGTACAGAAGGGTGAAGTTGAGACAGGAAAGCTAGAGGGCATCTGTAGACCAGCAGTGCACTCTGAGGGTGCACATCTGTGAGAGCCTCATCTCTTTCAGCAGGGGCACCCATGCCTACAGAACCTAGAAGGAAGCACGGTGGATCTTACTCTCCTCTGTGGGCTGATGGAAGTACAAGGCAATAGCCAATGGTTTTGAGCATGAGGATGGGTGGAACCAGATTAGCAGGTGGCATAATGCTTGACACAAGGGATCCAAGAGCTCACATCAGACATGGTGCTGTGGGAGCCAGTGAGGCATGGCAGTCACGCTCTCACAAATGGATAAAGAAAATGAAAGCAGAAGAGATTGATAGCACAGGATGAGGTTTGGGAATCGGAGAATGAATGTACAAATGGACAATGGTGAGATTATACGTAAAAGACAGACTTATGACCCATACCCTGGAGCAACCTGCCCAGGAAACCAACTCCTTAGCTCCAGTCACCAGCCCAGGAAGACAGCCTGCTCTAAGTCAGACTTGAAGGAAATCAGATGGCTATCTCCAGTAACAACCCAGGGAGCTACATAAGAACTGCTATTACAATTGACCCCAAATGATCAGGACTTGATAAATAACTCCTGGCTTCCCTAATTTTTATCCCCTCTTTTGACTGAGGACCAACTAGAGAAAGCCAGCTATGCTTCCCTGACCATAGAAGGCACGTCTAGCTTGCCACTTTCAACTTTTCCTTTTAAACAAACCCAATCAGATCATTCCTGGAGCTTTCCCACCTTCCCACTGTGCAGCTCTGCCACTCTTCTGCCTTACTTTGAGTCTCTGCAAAAGCCAACTGATGGTGTCTGACTCCCTTGCTACGCCCAGCTCTGAATAAACACCGTGTCCCACGTGGCTGGTCTTCATCTACTTCCACAAAACCAATGACCCAAATCAGGATAAAGAGTAGATTCAGGACAAGTGAGGAAGTGCAAAGTTAACTGTGAATGCAGAAGAGGGATTTCTGGACCCATTATCTGTTGTGTTTCCTGATGCTTGGCTGTGGATTTATATAACTTGCCGAGTCCTCATAAATCTTGTGAGATAGATTTTTTAATTCATCACTTTTAAGGGAAATGAAACTAAAATAGCCTTCATAACCCATCTAAGGTAGAGCAGAATCCAAGGACAGATTTATTTTTTTCACCACCTCAAGTCAATCTCCTAGGCCCCCTCTGACATCCTCATTGTAGTTTTGACCTTGGTACACTGCTCTGACAGTCTCCTTAATAGTATTGTGACTCCTTGTTCAGTCTGTTGGTGCCCTGCTTGTAGGTGATGAATGAAGTAATTTAACTAATGTCTTTCTCAAGTTTACAAAGAATGTGCGAGGAATGCAGAACTGAATTCAGATCTTCCTGATTTCAAAGCCCATGGTGGTTCACTACAATAGGCAAATTTAGGAGAGAGCTGTGTGCTGCCAGGTAGGTGCAAAAGTGACATGGACATTAAATTTATTGATCTGGAGTGATGAAAATACGGTAAGGCTAGGGAGCTCAGTAGGACATTTTCAAGTTACTAAAGATGTTGGCAATGGATGGGGCTAATGATTAGGAGGTCTGTTAGTAAAGTAAGAAAAAAATTGAGGGAGAATCCTGGAAGCTAGGAGATGATGTTGCCAAGGATAATAAGAAGGAGGGGGATAGATGTTATAAGAACATTCATCAAATAAAAATGATAATAGAATTATGGTACAGAAAATAGATTGTGATATGAGGCCTATCAGGTACTCTATCTACCTCTTCTTCCTGCACATTGGAAAAATGGGGGAAGGCAGAAAGCTCCTGGGGAAAGAGTTAGGAAGAAGCCAGATGCCAGTTCCAGAAAAGACAGACAAACAGCCCTTGGTAAAATGGCTGAGAATGTAGAACAGAAACATGGGGCTCAGGGAAGAAGTTGCAGAATAGAGAAAGATCCAGAGAGGGGTGGAATGTTCTGGAAAAAAATGGCTGCATCTGCAAGTGGCATCTAGAAACCAGATAGTAATTCCAGCTATTCATGGGAAAGGAAGCAGGAAAATGGTTAGAATCAGAATTATTCTCTAGATGGAGGAACAAGCAGTGTTGAGGCATCAGAATTCAGTTCTTGGTTAAGATAAAATAAATAATGAGACCCAAATTCCACTTACTTGAATAAAAAGTAAAAATCTGAGTAAATAATAGCTTCTCTTATGTGAAAAGAAATAGCATTTAAAGAAGGCTTTCTCCTTCTTGTTGAAACTTAGCAATATCTGCTAATGGGGACTGAAAAGTCATAGTGTTTTATCTTAAGACATTGTCATGGTTTGGCCTCTACAAAACTGCTCTCTAGGTGATGGGACTTGTATTTAAAGTACCTAGCAGTGTTCATTATAAGGTGAGGCAGAAGAGAAAGGCAGAGTTTCCACTCAATAAATATGAGTCACTGGCTTCCTATCCACAGAGAGTTTACGCTTGGTGTTGTAACAAATAGCATTGGCAGAAGGTGACAGCAATGCTGTTGTTCTATTGTTTTCCTTACAATAATTCCAGTGTAACTTTTCTCCAAGATTCAGTTTGAGAAGCAAATGTGCTTATGAAACACCTTTCTAACACAAAGGAATGAAATCCAAAATGTGTGCTAATTTATTTCTTTTATGCTTTGCTCTGTATGTAGCACTCTTTCTGGTAACTAGATTATAGTGAGTCATGAGTGAAAGGAAAAGTCAGTTGTGTTTTAGGTCATTCCCTATTCCAGAACATTCAACCCCAAAGAAATGCAGCTAGAATAAAAACTCATATACACATACCAGGTTGCAGTTGATTTTAAGCTAGAGAAGATGAACACTTGGACCAGTGCTTTCCACAGGGAAAAACTACAACTTAAATTCATCACAAGCTCTTCTAATTCATAATTACTGTTATAATTTTGTGGCCTCATTTTAGCTTTGCAGCAATGCATATGAAAAACTAGACCACTTAATCTATCTACCTCCTTTTAGCACTTTTCTACATCGTCCTCCAAAATCAAATAATGGTAGCAGCTCAGGGAAGCGTTGCATGAAGAGGTTCTTGGGTTCGAAACCAAGCATGATGTCTCTGCTAGTCAGGAATGACCCAGGGAAATGCTATACAGTGTAACTAAAATGGAGTACAGTTGTGCATCATTTACAGATAGGCACATGTTCTGATAAGTGCATGCTTAGTGAATTAATCACTGTGTGAATATCATAGGACGTATATGGCTGTGACGTCACTAGGGAATGTAATCTTATTGGACCACTGTCATAAATGAGGTCCACCTGTGCTCACAATATCATTATGTGGTCCATGTCTACACATAATGATAAAGTTGCTGTAATTCCTAGATTAAAAAGAAACTGTGTGGTAAACTGGGGCTGATTAAGGAAAGCTTCTGTCTCCTCATAGATTTACTTAATCTTTAATTTGAAATTGGAAAATTTCCTGGGATGTCTGTGCTAATGTCTGTTTGACATAACAACTAGCACAGCGTTCTCTGTCCACTGGGCACTTGTGTTTGCCTGGTCCATTGGGGAACAAACCATAACTTTATACACAGAGGTGTCCAGAAATGCAGAATGGTGACAATTTCACCCTTCTATGAATCATGTGGGCCAACGGTAAAATGAAATAAATCATTGCTCAGGTTTACTGCCTTGATCTAAAAGCAACAGCCCCTGTAAGCCAAGGAGAAGCTGGATGGTCACTTGTCTTTATGATGTATTTCTCTTCAATATCCATGGCTCTCTTTGCCTTCCTTACCCACCCCCTAAAAGATAATTTTTGTTTGTTACCTCTTACCGACATTTATTTTGGCAATTTTTTTCTGAGAGTCCATCTTCATCCTCTCCCATGATGTCCACAGCCGAGAAGATCAATGCGACAAGGATAGCAAAGCAGCAGACAAGGGCAAAGATCACGATGCACTTCTGCTGGGACTGGAAGAGAAAGAAGAGGAATGAATGTAAGTTGGGCACTGTCACTCAGCAAACTGGAGATTAGGCAGCTTCTCCAAATCCTATGGAGCACCTTCAGAGCATCACTACTTCTACCACTTCTAGAGAAGGGCAGTGCTGCAGGTGAGATTACTGAGGACCTTTATACATCTTCCTCAGCACAGACTTCAAAACCCACTGGACTGTTAGACCTTGTTCAATAATTCAAGTGTGATATTCAGACTTCTGAACCACTTTGCTCTTCCTCTTTTTGATCAAAGGCAGTCCAGAAAGAGACAGCTATGAGATCTATTGTTTCAAATTAAAAATGAAATACAAATGCTAGCATCAGGGTTATGTAACTGACATAGTTTATTTCAAAACATTGAGCAGAAGCATGAACAACCTTCATACTCTTGATTTTCATTTAGAAAATCAAGCCAAGGCCCAGGTAGTTAAGCGACACTCATGTCCTTACCTATAGGCCCAAGTGCTGTAATTAGAGACACCCTTGTCTCCTGGGGCCCACGGCTGAAGGTGACAAAAGACAAGGCCACGATAACTGATAGGAGCTGTGACAGCTGGGAAAAAGAGTTTTCTCTGCTTTCTTTCTGCTAGCTGATATTAAAATCTGAACCCCTTACATGATGGAATTAGGAGGTAGTGTCTTTTAGAAGGTGATTAGGTGATGAGGCAGAGTCCTCATCAATAGGATTGGTGGTCTTGTCTACAAGAGGCCTTGGAGAGCTCCCATTTCCCTTCCACCAAGTGAAGATGCAGCTGAAGGTGCCATCTGTGAACCAGGAGGGGAACCCTCAACAGACACCTAACCTGCCAGTGCCATAATCTTTTTTTTTTTTTTAATTAGTCAAAGTTAAACTTTATTTCTAGCTGTTCTCTTTGGAAATCATCATTTATGTTTATAGTTGATATTTTTGCTATCAAGTAGCAAACTATTTCTTATGCCTACCACAGAACATTCCCAGCCCCATAATAAAATTATTATACTTGATAATCTTCTATACTGAAGTATATATTAATGTCTTAAGAACTTACTAAAGGGGCTGTGGATTTAGCTCAGCGACACAGCGCTTGCCTGGCAAGGTCGCGAGTTCAATCCCCAATACCTGAAAAAAAAAAAAAAAGAACTTACTAAAAATATGCAGCTGCTTTTGTTTTTTTTCTGGTACCAGGAATCGAACTCACACCTTGCGCTTGCCAGGCAGGCGCTGTGTGGCTGAGCTAAATCCTCAGCCCTGCAACTGCTTTTAATTAGCTGGAAAGTACTATGTTTTCTAAGAGGAAATTACTTTTTATTCTTATTTCCAGAAAAAGTTGGTCTATATTAAGGTAGTTTTTGTTGTTGAGTTTTCTGGTAGTACTGGGGATAGAACCCAGGTGTGCTCTACCACAGAGCTTCGTTTCCAGCCTTCTTTGTGTGTTTTCTTTTTTGAGAGTCTTCAAAAGTTGTTCAGACTGGCTGCAACCTTGTGATTCTCCCAAATAGCTGAGGTCACAGGTGTGTGTGGTATCACAGCCAGCTTAAGCTTGTTTTAATAAGAAATAAGCTGAACATTACATTTACAGATCCTATGATAGCTCTAAAACAGAGACAATGCTAAACTCAACTCCAGTGCCTCTGTTCCCATGTCTAAAAAAAGATGCTCTGTCATAGTTTTTAATTTTTTTTTTTTGGACAGGGTCTTGCTATGTAGTTCTGGCTGGCCTTGAACTGACCACAATCCTCCTCAGCCTCTTGCATGCTGGGATTACAGGGGTGTGCCACCATGCCCGCATGACTTACATGTGAGTTTGATTTCAGAACACCCACTGCTGATGGTACTATACTTACTGGAACTTATTTTAATTATTAGGAGATAACCTATGTACTATATGTAAGTATATTATAAAATTTTCGTTGTATCTCTCCACATTTTTCTATTTTACAACATTTCAGGTGGGTGGAGGAAGACTAGAATTGCCTGCTTTTAAGATTTCAATAAAGCTCATAGTGTGTAAATATACACGGAAACAAGCAGACGTATACTGAAAAGTGACCATGAGGGAAGAATGACAATTACAGAGGGAGCTGTATGAGAATGTAACATGAGAGTGCAGCACTTTGGATGCCCCGAATGCACCACACACAGAACTCTTGAGTCATGTTCTTTACTTGCTGACCGTCTGGCTACAGTTCAAACAGGTACAGCCTCCAAAGTTGTAACTAGTAACCTTCCAAACTAGCTTTAAATTAAGTTCTTAAATTGTAGCAATAAACAAAACACAATATATTTAAACAATACTGCAGTTTATAAAACAACACATTTAAGAAAAACTCTTATTCTTTGAGAGTTATATAAAATGTTTTGACGGTTATAAATGTTTATCATGTAATTATTTGCACAACTAGTAATACTTCTCAGTAGCTATAAGATCAGAATTTTTTTAAAAAAACACAAAAATCATAAAAATATGTAGTCCCGTTATTTACCTGTAGAACATGTTCATTTGTGCCTATATTTCAGCATCTGCAATATCATCATTGTTCTAATTTTAAAAGTTACATCCAAAAGATAAGGCCAAACCACCTACGAATTGGCGTATCTGTTTATTTCTGTTTATGAAAACGTCCGTAATTTGCTGATGTGGCAAACAAATATCAACTCTGCTATGCACAAAACAGAAGACAATCTGCTTTGCAATTAACTGTACAGTTCAACTGCACACAGGCAACATGTTATATATGAAAAAATTACTAACTGAACTACAAGTACTAAATACTGAAAAATTAACAGTTTATTATAATTTATTTTATTTAACAGTCTAGGAAATTTGCAGCCATCGGCAGTTCCAGTGCTATCTCGGGTGCGATGGAAAATTTGGGAATCTCAGTGGAGCTGTTAGTGTAGTGAACCTTGTAGGTGAAATACATGCAGACTTTCGAAAGTACGTGTGAAGGGATCTCTCTGAAATTGACCTCATTGGTTTCATTTTTTAGCAAACTGACCGGGGCCACTCAACATGGCTTTCATTGTTCCTGATGTTAGTTCTCTTTTTACAATAAATTCATGACCATCCGAAGATATCAATTTCACATACATAGCATCAGGGCCTTCACAACCACCATAGGTTTTCTCCTCTCCATCCGTTATGTTCTTATAAAATTCTGGTTTGTAAATAAGGTAAATAATGGGACTATGTATTTTTATGTTTTTTAAAAATTCTGATCTGATAGCTACTGATAAGTATTACTAGTTATGCAAATAATTACATGATAAACATTTATAACAGTCAAAACATTTTATATAACTCTCAAAGCATAAGAGTTTTTCTTAAATGTGTTGTTTTATAAACTGCAGTATTGTTTAAATGTATTGTGTTTTGTTTATTGCTACAATTTAAGAACTTAATTTAAAAGCTAGTTTGGAAGGTTATTAGTTACAACTTTTGGGGCTATACCTGTTTGAACTGTAGCCAGATGGTCAGCAGGTAGACTACCTGAGTTTACAAAATTTTGGTTCCACAGGAACTTTAGTAGTTCCTGGGGAGGCGGGAATGCACCGACTCTGTTGCCAACTTCCGTCTGCAGGAACTCCGGTGCCATGATCTTGAACTTTTCAGCCTCCAGCCTGTGAGAAACAAATCTCTCTTGTAGATAGGCCATGTACTTTATAGTATCTTGATGTAGCTGCCCACATGGACTAAGTCATTCTTTTTTTTTTTGGTCTTTTTGAGACAGATTTTTGCTCTGCAGTTCAGGCTGAACTTGAGCTCACTTTGTAGCCCAGGCTGGCCTCCAACTTGCAACAATCCTCCTGCCTCAGCCTCCTGAGTGCTGGGATTCATATAAGTCATTCTTTATTGGATAAATGAGATAGGGGATATTGACAGAGGAAAAAGTGTGATCTTTGATCCAGGGGCCAGAGACACCACCCTCGTGATATGATAAGTGTATACACACACACACACACACACACAGATTTATTAAAACCGGGTTTCTCTTACTCCACCCTCAAAGGTGAAGAAGGTGAAGGCCAAAGGAAGTCACGTCATTGCTCTTTCACACAAGACTTCGATTATCTCTAAGGCATGGATTACGTTTTGCTTTTTCTATCCCTCAGTAACCAGCATAACACCTAACAAATAGAAGGTGCTCCAGAAATAATAACAGTTTTATCAATTAAAACTAAAGGAAATGAAAATTACAATGGTTTTGGTCTGACAATGCAGTCACACAAAATGATTCTCTCAAGGCTCACCTGTAACCTTCTTGAAGATTGATTTGTTTCTGTATTATTGTGAAGGTATATCTTGGGGGCAGAGGCAAATTCACAGTGCCATGTTTACTAACTACCTAATAGCTCAGAAGAGATCGTGCATTTGTCTCGCTCTTTTATTTTTCATGCACCCCTTATTCCTCACTAGTTGTCTTTTTAAGAAGCAACACAGTGAAATGGATGAGGGCTCAAACTTCTGTGATCAAAGTGCTTGGATTCTGCCACTTACTGATTCCTTGCCCATGGGGCAAGTTAATTACCTTTGTGCTTCTGCTTCCCTGTCTATAAAATGGGGATAACAATAACAACTGCTTCCTTGGGTTACAAATGAGATACTGAACATAAAACATTTAAAACAGTAAGTGGGCTGCCTGTAATCCCAGCACTGAGGAGGCTGAGGCAGGAGAATCGTTGTGAGTTTAAGGCCAGCCTGAACTGCATATCGAGACCCTGTCTCAAAAAGACAAATAAATAAATAAATAAATAAATAAATAAATAAATAAATAAATAAACTAGTAAATGGACTTTATGTCTGTTACTGCCAGTATATTGTATTTTGTGCACCCTGTATGCTGTGTCAAGTATTTTGGGGGAACAAGGTGAATATATGGATAAACACCAATGAAAAAGAACAAAACCATCTGTCATTATGCGTAAGAGAGAAGCAGAAAGAGTGAGAAACAGAATCAAAAGAAATGAAACAGAAAGAGAGGGAAA